ACAAGACAATCTGGTTTTATTAACTGAGTTGTTGATGTACATTGGCCACAAAGACGTTTCGAGCGTTAGCCCTTCGTCAGAGCGAATGATCTGTTTAAACAGATCTTAAATCTTTGCTCTAATTAAATAATTTAGCAAGCCAAATTTGAATACCTGTTTCATGTAATTGTAGATAAAAATATCAATTTCTCCTTTTAGAAAGCTTTTGTTAGGGACGAAACTCTATGGGAATTCCCGTGAATTCGCCACTATACATACCGATTTGGTTCCTTGGTAGAAAGATAAAACGTAAATAAGAAATCAAGCCCTCACTGGAACAGTCTTAGAACTTCTGAGTTTCCTCGGTAGACTCCAAGGCTTTTGTACGATGACCAATGATATCTGTCCTATTGCGACTATGTTTCGTCTCTTTCTTAGATTCACCCAATCTAATATGTGCAGTCAAAGTGTTCTTTACTCAAGATGTTAGTTTCATTTTGCTAACACTTAAATTTCTTTCAGCATCTTTGCCAGGGAAGTGATAGAGGCAAGAAGGTAAAAGTCTACAGTAAATGTTAGCCTTTAGCCTTAAGAGAGTTTCGTCATCGAGCCCTTGTCATCACGTTAAGCTTCAAGGAGACTACGACATAATCCTTCAACAAACAACGAGAGCGGAAAATGAAGAATATCAAAACAGATTGTAAATGGAGAACTTTAGCAATTAACACAGGACGCGAGGCAGCCTTGGTTGATGACAGTAATCATTGCATAATAATAATATTAGGAATAATAACAATCATTACAAAAAAGATATAGATCGAAAAAATGAAAATGAGCGAAAACCTATTCTAAAAACATGCTTTTCTAATGACCTCGAAACATTTGTTTTCTATTTATCTCTCTTGATGTAAAAAAATAACTAGATAACTACTTTCATAAATCAATAAAGTATTGCATTGTCAAAGTAATGCAATACACACCTGGTAAATATCAAAGTTGCTGGAGCATTTCATATGTGTTTCTTTAAAATTTTATGAATTACTGGTGTTTTTTTCTTTTTCAGAGCTCCTCCCGTTGTTCAGGCCAGGTAAATTCTGCTTCATTATTGTTACATGGCATTTTGGAAGAATTTTAAGCAGGGTTATATACGACATATGATTAGAGTCTGGGCAGAAGAGAGGATCTGCAAAGTGTCACGAGGAGTTTGACAAGAGTTCATGCCACATCCATTTTGATGCATGATGTTTTATTTTTGCCTTTTTCAGAACATCTCCCGCACTACCTTCCGGTGGGGAAGTAGTTCTTCGTTCAGAACCGAGGCAGTTTGTTTTTCCTTTTTTAACAATCTTAATCCCCAAGACAGGATCTTTAACTAACCAATCCTGTGTCACAAGGATTCTGACAGGAGTTTAAATAACATCTATACTAATGGAAAATTTAAAAGGAAAAACATTTTTTTTTATTTTGGCCTCTTTCAGGACACCTCCCATACAACCTCCCCCAGTGATGGTGGTAGTAGATTCTCCACCACCATCAAAACACGGCTGTGTAGACTTTTGTTTCAAGTGTGAAAGCGGCCACAGCTGGTACGATTTGCAAGGGAAAGGTAGGTATTCAAATGCTTTCAGAGCCTCACTTGCCACGGCTTTTTGTAGCTTATAAAAGAAGAAGAGGCGAGTAAGACCTATTAAGCATTCAGAACGGTCTGATCAAATCATTCCTTGATCAAAATCGACATTATTCATGTACTTATACTTATCAATCCGCCAACGTATTTATCTATCGATTTATACATTTTCAAATTCATTTTTAAAAAAAAATGTATTTATTCATTCATTTAATCATTCATTCATGTCCTTTGTTATTTACCTTCAGAGTTGAATTGCATTGATGCAGCGTTCTTAAACGCCTAATTTACGAATAAGAAAAAAAAAACTTAACAATTAGATTATAAGATACTTATAGAGCAAGGTCTGTACAGGATAGCAACATCCGAAAATTAATATGTTGAGTTTTTTCTCACTAAAACTATTGTAAGAAAATGTTATTGTTCTCGTTTGTTACAGCCGAAACGCCTCATACCGTTGAACGAAAAAATGGAAAGATCCGTTTTCATGTTTGGTATTCAAGATGTTCCCGAAATTAGCATCTCTTAAGTCACCTCCTCTTTGCAAATAAACACTCGCAGAATGTAGAACCTCTAGTGTTTGGATTTCTGCAATGTGAGGTGTAATATAAGCACTTGCCAAAGAGAGCCTGAAAAAATTCAGGCATCAACGGGATTCGAACCCAGGCATCTCAGATACTAGCTGAGCGCTCTACCAACTACCAACTGAGCTGCGAAGCCACACGTTGGGGGAGACGAATTTTTAGGCTAAGAAAATATTTTCAATTGACTAAGTTTCAAAACTCTAATTTGCTTCATCATTTTTCAGGTTTATGCATTGTCCTGTTGCTGCTTTTGGGTTATTTGATCTTTGGGGTTATCGCTTTAGCATTTTTTGTGTTGTATTGTGTTGGCGAGTGCCTCAAGTCATTTGGAAGTGACTGAGAAATGGATCACATCATTGGTTTATCTATGGAGATGAATTTAAATTACATTAATATTCCATTATCTATTGCGTTTTCACTAAAAGTTTTGTGCTTAAATAATTTGGGTTTTCATTTCTTCGAATTTGGCACTCCTGAGCAAATTTACTTCGGGTCAGTCAGATCAAGGTAGCATTCACAAGCTTCCTACCTAATTCCCCCCAGGGCTCTTGTTATTCTAAAGACCCCCCCCCCCCTCCATTATCAATCAATTTTCTATGGTCCGCACTCTATACTCTATTATCGACTACCTATATCCGCTACATTCCGCTGTAAACCACGTGATCCTCTCGAAATCCTCTAAAAACCCCCTCCCTACCCTCCTCAGGCGATTAATTATGACCTGTCGCTAAGGACAATTTTTTTTGTCCAGTTTTTTGTTGTCTTTTCGATGCAAACTGTCCTGTTACAGGCGATCAAGTGCTAAACTGTTCCATGCATCATCAAAAAAATTACCTCAGTTTCTTACTCAGCTTCTAACAAAGCTGTTTTCATATTCAGTACAAAGCTAACAAATGAACTTAACTCGTACAGCATTATACTAGGTTGTTAGAACAGCAATGCTATTACATAGTTTAGTATATAAGAGATTATTTCCAGCAAGCTTTAAGAATTATTTGAATAAAGTTTCTCAAAATAAAATTACGCATTGATTTATGACGACATACTGACGCATTAAGCCCCCATCGTCGTTACTGATTGGCTGCAACCAACCAGGGTCCTCCTTTTCCTGAAATACAAAAACTCAAAGTTGTTGGTCAGTAGAGTGTAGTCACACCTTAACGATTCGACTTGGAAATGAACAGCAACCTGCAGGCCGAAGAGGCTATTAAGAAAGAGCTCATCGATGAAGTTCCATTGGAAAACAAGACACAAGTCGTTGCTACAGAACAAGTCTTAGTTCAGCTGATAACACAAAAAAAGGTTCTCAAAGCTTTGATTTAACGAGTTCAGTCATGCAGATGGATCAGTTTACGGCGATGAGATCCGGTTTCTTGTTCAATCCCTGGGTTAGTTAAACTTATAATACTGAAAATTTTTCCATAGCTTTACTCCAATGAGTTTTCCAGCGCAGGTACAAATGTAGATCTGTTTACGGGGATGAGATCTAATCTACTGTTCAACCTTTGTAAATTAAAGGAGAGTTGTTTTAGTCTGTAAGTAAATTCAGTGGTTCAGTGGGAGTTGACTTCATAACCAGATCATAATTAAGCGGAAATGATTCTGAGTTCTGACTCATTTCAATAATTTCTGCTCTCGACCTCTTGGTAAGCTTGCTCAAAAGTTCACCATCTCTTGCTCTTCTCTTTCTCCTTAAACTAAACCTTGGAATTCAGTTAATAAGTTTATTGTCATATGACCACTAAGGCCCTTTCCACACTAGCGAACAAGACTAAAATTGTCCCGACCAAATCAAAGAACAAATTTCGTCATGAAGAATTTTCGTTTCGTCTGTTGCATCCGCACAAAAATTTCAAAGCCGCCAAAATCCGTCAGCGCCTGATCTGTTCATAAGTCCGTCCAGCATAGTTTCCAAAGGGTTCCACCTGCAATTTTCAGGATTATCCTGAGCCTTTTTAAAATTTTAGAATCCCCAAGTTGCAACAAAGATAATTTTTGCCTCTCTAGTAAACTGATTTCAGTTCAATTACACGCTTGTCGTAGCTTATACGACAAATATTTAAATGTCCCAAGGTGGGTAGCAAAAAGCTCAAAAGCGAAACACATATGTTTTAAAACTTTGTACATTTCCCAGCCGTCTTATAGCAGAAATCACCAGAAACCGCAACGGACACACAAGGTGTGTAAAATGTTCGCATTTCGGAATATTTAACGCAGTAAATTGACCATATTTCAAACTATTCCTCATAACATATCACGTCAATGGTTCCTAACCTAACACCGCGTAACACAACGCGTGACGCTTTCATAAATAAATACATACGTTTCCGAGAATTAAGCTTTCGTCTTTCTCGAGACGTGAGCTTGGGGCAAGCGCAACAACAACCTCAAGAAACCTCAACCCAACACCCCAGGTTTGTAAGATTGTATGTAAACGCGTTTTATTTTGCGACCACGGCTAGGCGGGTTACCTCACCTACCTCCATGTAAACAGGCCCTTTGTCGACTTTGCCAAATTTTAACCCGGGACAAATTTCGTCAGCAGTGCGTTTGAAGATTTGTCCGCTTTAGCCAAAATTTTTCAGGTCGCATTGAAAATGTTCTCAAAGGTTTTATTTAACGAGTTTGGTGCCGGTGAAGACTTCTTCACTTTAGATATTACTTTCATTTTGCTAACACGGCCGGGGAAGTGATAGAGGCAATTGAAGTCAATTTGCCTGGAAGGTAAAAGTCTACAGTAAATATTAACCTTCAACATAAGAGAATTTTCTCATTGAAAATTGAGCCCCTGATGTCACGTTAAGCTTCAAGGAGACTACGACAAAATCCTTCAACAAACAGCAAGAGTGGAAAATGAAGAACATCAAAACAGATTGTAAATGGAGAACTTTAGCAATTAACACAGGACGCGATGCGATCTCGGTTGATAACAATAATCATTGATTAATAATGGTAATGATAATATAAGGAATAATAACAAGTATTACAGACATAAAAACATGCTTTCCTATTGATTTCGAAACATTTATTTTTTATTTATCTCTCTTGACGTACAAAAATAACTAGATGACTATTTTAAAAACCAATTAAGTATTGCATTGTCAAAGGAATGTAATTATGATACACACCTTGTAAATATGTTCTGGCCAGAGTCTGGGCAGAAGAGAGGATCTGCAAAGTGTCACGATGAGTTTGACAAGAGTTCATGCCACATCCATTTTGATGCAAGATATTTTGTTTTGGCCTTTTTCATAACATCTCCCGCACTACTTTCCCTTGGGGAGGTAGCTCTTCATTAAGAATCGAGGCAATTCCTAATCCCTCTTTTAGCAATCTTAATCCTAAGAGAGGATCTTAAACCAACCAATCCTGTGTCACAGGGAGTTTGACAGGAGTTTAAATGACATCTATACTATTAGAAGTACTTTAAAGGAAAAACGTTCTCTATTTTGGCTTCTTCTAGGACACTACCACTACCTGCCCCACAGGTTGTTGTGATAGATTCTCCACCACCATCAAATGACGGCTGTTGTGACTTTTGTTTCAAGTGTGAAAGCGGCTACAACTGGTACGACTTGCAAGGGAAAAGTAGATACTCAAATACTTTCAGGGCCTCACTTGCCAGGGCTCTTTGTAGCCTATAAATGTGGAACTTTCAAGAAAGAAGAGGCGAGCAAAACCTATCAGGCATTCAGAACGGTCTGGTCTAATCATTCCTTGATCAAAATCGACATTATTCATTTACTTATACTTATCAATCTGCCAACGTATTTATCTATCGATTTATACATTTTCAAATTCACACATATATATATTCATTCATTAAATCATTCGTTCATGTCCGTAATTATCTACTCTCGGAACTAAAATGCATTGAATCAGCGTCCTGACGTTCTTCGATTTGACAGCTTATTTACGGATAAGAAAAAGAAATTTAAAAATTAAGTCATCATATTTTATAGAGCAAGGTCTATATAGGATAGCAACATCCAAATATGAATATGTTGAGTTATTTCTCTTTAAAACTATTGTAAGAAAATGTTATTGTTCTCGTTTGTTACAGCCGAAACGCCTCATACCGTTGAACAAAAAATTGAAAGATCCGTTTTCGTGTTTAGCATTCAAGATGTTACTGAATTAGCAACTCTTAACTCACCTCGCCTTTGCAAACCCACATTCGAAGAATGTAGAACTTCTAGTGTTTGGATTTCTGCAGCGAAGTCAAGATTCAAAAGAAGAGATGATCCTCTTTGGTGAGGTGTTATATAAGCACTTGCCAAAGAGTAACTGGAAAAATTCAGGCATCAACGGAATTCGAACCCAGGCCTCTCAGATACTAGCTGGGTGCTTCTACCAACTGAGCTACGAAGCCGCACGTTGGGGGAGACGAATTTTAAGCTTAGAAAAGATTTTTAATTGATTAGGTTTCAAAACTCTAATTTGCTTCATCATCTTTCAGGTGTCTGCATTGTCCTGTTGTTGCTTGTGGGTTACTTGATCTTTGGAATTATCGGTTTGGCCTATTTAGTGCTGTATTGTCTTTGCGCTTGCCTCAACCTCTCAGAAATGGATCACATCAGTGGTTTATCTACGGAGATGAATTTAAATTGAATCAATATTCCATTATCTATAGCCTTTTCACTAAATGTTTTGTACTTAAAAAATATGGGGTTTTCATTTCTTCGAATCTGGCACTCCTGAGAAAATTTACTTCGTGTCAGTCATATCAAGGTAGCGTTCACAAGCTTCCTACCTGATTTCCCCTAAGGCTCTTGTTATTCGAATGACCCGCCCCACCCCTCCCCCCCCCCCCATTATCAATCAATTTTCCATGGTCCGCCCTCTATACTCTGTTATCGACTACTTATATCCCCTACATTCCCCCTCTTGAAAACCATCTGATCCTCTCAAAATCCTTCAAAACCCACCTCCCTACCCAGGGGATAAAAATTACGACGGGTCGCTTTGGACAAATGATTTGACGGTATTGTCTTATTGATGCAAACTGTCTTACTGGAAACCAGTTCTTTCTCTGGTATTGGCGATCGAGTGCTAAACTGTTCCGTGCTTCATCAAAACGTTACCTCAGTTTCCTACTCAGCTTCCAACAAAGCTGTTAACATATTCAGTACAAGGCTAAGAAATGAACTTAACTAGTACAGCACCATACGTGGTTGTTATAACAGCAAAGCTGTTACATAGTTTAGCATATGAGAGAGTGTCATCCAGTAAGCTTTAAGAATTATTCGAATAAAGTTTCTCAAAATAAAATTTATCCTAAGTCAAAAATATATTAAAGTTCACACGGCAACCAGGTGGACAATCAGACATAGTTTGAAGCTACACTGGTTTGCAGATTTAATGAATGTAACCGAAGAAGTTACAATTCATAGACCCAACGTTTCGACACTCCTGTCTAGTGCCTTCATCAGGGGTGATCTAAACGCTGCAACAAGAGGTCCTTTTATATGATCACTAATTAGCGGCCTTTTTTCTGACGAGGTGTAAATAGGCGTCAGGAAGCAGACCGCCATCGTCACGATTTAAAGGAGCGTGGGCGGAGTTTATGTGCCAAGCCTCCAAACAAAGGTGCTGGTGGTAACGCCGATTAGTAGTGATAATTTTAGAATTATCCCACCCAATTGTATGGTTGGTTAGGCAAGTATGCTCCGATAAAGCTGAATTTTCCTTTTTGCAAAGAAAAACCGCTTTTTGGTGCTCTTTTAACCGTGTACCAAACTGGCGTTTGGTCTGTCCGATGTATTCGTTATCACAGTCATTGCAAGGAATAGAATAAATGGCGTCGGTTCGTTGTTCTTTCGTGACAGGATCCTTAGGTTTGGCGAAAATATGCCCCAAAGTCTGAAAAGGTTTTTGAGCAACTTTAACGTTGTGGCTATTCAAAATTCTCTTGATGGGTTCAGTAACACCCTGTATGTAAGGAATAACAGCAAAACCAGTCGCTGGTTCCCTTTCATCAAGAGCGTTACTATTTGTAACTGGTTTTTGGCAGTTACGGAGAAAAGTTTTTGTATAGCCATTTGCCTTTAGGACATTGGAAACATATTTCCTCTCCTCAGCCTTCGAATCGAGTGATGATGGTAGACAATCAGCCCTCCTAAGTAAAGTTTTGGCTACAGACTTTTTATGGCCATTGTCTCTTTTGTTAATTCTTCGACTTATGCAATTTCTGGTTATCTTGCGAGAATTTTGTCGCTTGTTGTTGGGAATACTGATTACACTGTCAAAAATTCCTGCGAATTTACGGATTTCATAAGAGATAAAACTCTTGACGCTTGTGAAGAATTAGTATCTTTCGACGTTGTTTCGCTCTTCACTAAAATCCCAGTTGATCTTGCCGTTAAGGTTGCGGAGGAAAGACTCAGAGAAGATGTTTCCCTAGGACAAAGAACTTCTTTGCCTGTGGAGGATATTATTCATCTGCTGTCTTTTTGCCTCAAAACCACGCAATTTACATATAACGGCACATACTATCAACAAGTTTTTGGTACAGCTATGGGTTCGCCTGTTTCTGCTGTCATTGCTAACATGGTAATGGAAGACGTGGAACAAAGGGCCTTAGCCACTTCACCGGTTAAACCCTTTTTCTGGAAACGATATGTCGATGATGTTATTTCTGCGGTATCCGGAAATGAAGCGGAGCGCCTCTTGTCGCATTTGAATTCAGTAGAGCCGTCGATCCAATTCACCCTTGAACGTGAAAAGGATAGACATTTGCCCTTTCTTGATTTAAATGTGTCTAGAGGGGTTCAGGGTAATTTAGAGACAAGTGTCTATCGTAAACCCACCCACACCGACAAATACCTCGCTTTCGATTCTCACCATCCTATTTGCCATAAAAAGTCTGTAGCCAAAACTTTACTTAGGAGGGCTGATTGTCTACCATCATCACTCGATTCGAAGGCTGAGGAGAGGAAATATGTTTCCAATGTCCTAAAGGCAAATGGCTATACAAAAACTTTTCTCCGTAACTGCCAAAAACCAGTTACAAATAGTAACGCTCTTGATGAAAGGGAACCAGCGACTGGTTTTGCTGTTATTCCTTACATACAGGGTGTTACTGAACCCATCAAGAGAATTTTGAATAGCCACAACGTTAAAGTTGCTCAAAAACCTTTTCAGACTTTGGGGCATATTTTCGCCAAACCTAAGGATCCTGTCACGAAAGAACAACGAACCGACGCCATTTATTCTATTCCTTGCAATGACTGTGATAACGAATACATCGGACAGACCAAACGCCAGTTTGGTACACGGTTAAAAGAGCACCAAAAAGCGGTTTTTCTTTGCAAAAAGGAAAATTCAGCTTTATCAGAGCATACTTGCCTAACCAACCATACAATTGGGTGGGATAATTCTAAAATTATCACTACTAATCGGCGTTACCACCAGCGCCTTTGTTTGGAGGCTTGGCACATAAACTCCGCCCACGCTCCTTTAAATCGTGACGATGGCGGTCTGCTTCCTGACGCCTATTTACACCTCGTCAGAAAAAAGGCCGCTAATTAGTGATCATATAAAAGGACCTCTTGTTGCAGCGTTTAGATCACCCCTGATGAAGGCACTAGACAGGAGTGTCGAAACGTTGGGTCTATGAATTGTAACTTCTTCGGTTACATTCATTAAATCTGCAAACCAGTGTAGCTTCAAACTATGTCTGATTATCCTAAGTCGTTTTAAAATTCTAGAATCCCCGAGTTTTGCAGCAAAAGACAATTTTTGCCTTTCTAGTAAACTGATCTCAGTTCAATTACACGCTTGTCGTAGCCTTTACGACAAATGATTAACAAGTTTATCACAGTTTTGTATATTTAGTCGAATTTGCCAAATTTTTTACCCGGGAAAAATTTTGTCGACGGTGCGTTTGAAGATTTTTCCGCTTTGGCCAAAATTTTTCAAGTCACCACAAACCATCTGCACTTGTAAAATGTTGGTGAGAACAGAAAATGTGTCTGAAATAAACAATTTAGTCGTTAGTGCGGAAAAGGCCCTAAGTTATGAAAATTTCGACAATTTTGTTTCAAACTGACTAGGACGTAATTGCACACAAAAGAAGGGCGTGCATGGGTCAGCTACTGAGTTTCGACCTTTTAAGTCTCTCAAATAATCAATCTGTATTTAATACAAAATTAATCGATGTGTCAATGATCACTAACATGTCATTACTCAGAAATGACTACTTTGAGCTCAAGACCGTGGATTTAAAGCTCATGACGTCACAGCGACGTCACCATTGTTGTTACTAATTGGTTAGAACTAAACAGGCTCCTTCTTTCCCAGACTGAATACGCAAAGTTTAAGTTGTTTATCAGTGGAGTGTAGTTACACCTTGACGATTCGACGTGGAAATGAGTAACAACCCGCAGGCCGTAGTGGCTGTTAAGGAAGAGCACGTCATTATCGATGGAGTTCGATTGAAAAAGACGACAGCAGTTGTTGCAACAGAACAAGGGTTAGTTTGATGACACTGAAAATGTTCCCTAAGCTTTGATGTAACGAGTTCGGTTGTGAAGATGGATCAGTTTACGGCGATAAAATCTGGTTTCCCGTTCAATCCCTGTGAAGTAGACTTTGTTTACTCTTGAAAACAATGATTCTTCCGTTTGTTTTTGCCCTTAATTGAATTCAGTGGTTTGATGTGCGCAAATTCAATTGACTCCATAAGCGGATGACCAATAAGGCGGAAGTAATGCTAAATACTGACTAATTTCACTTGTCTTTTTTATTCAACCTGTTAGTAAGCTTACTCGTATTGTGGCCGAGAATTCACCTAATCAATTGAGCCTGTCATTAGAATCTACCTAAATTTCTTTAAGTTGGTAGAATTTGTTTGTGAAATTGAAGCGATTGTTTTACATATTTCTTCTGGAAGAAATATGTAAAACTTTGATAACTTTTCTTTGTTTAAATTTTTTGTTTTGATCTTTACACTCCAATGGTTAGGCCAAACATTGTGACCTTGTTTGTGAAGCATTGATATTTTGCTATTCAAACGATCCTAAGCTCAACAGTTGTTAATGTACATTGTTCACAAAGACGTTTCGAGCTTGAGCCCCTCGTCAGAGCAAATGATCTATTTAAACAGATCTTAAATCTTTGCTTTAATGAAATAATTTAGCAAGCCAAATTTGAATACTTGTTGCTCACCTTCAATAACTGTTTCATGTAACTATAGATAAATATCACTTTCACCTTTTTGAAAACTTTTGTCAGGGACGAAACATTTTTTTCCTCTCTGTTGCAGTAGTTAATGGGAACTCCCGTGAACTCGCCACTATACATTCCAATTTGGTTCCGAGGTAGAAAGATAAAACGTAAATAAGAAATCAAGCCCTTACTGGATCAGTCTTGGAACTTCTGAGTTTCCTTGGTAGACTCCAAGGCTTTTGTACGATGACCAGTGATATCTGTCCTATTGCAACTATGTTTCGTCTCTCTCTTAGGTTCACTTCATCTAAAATGTGCAGTTTAAGTGTTCTTTACTCAAGATGTTAGTTTCATTTTTCTTACTCCTAAATTTCTTTCAGCATCTTGGCCAGGGAAGTGATAGAGGCAAGTGAAGTCAATTTGCCCCGAAGGTAAAAGTCTTCAGTAAAAGTTAGTCTTTAGTCGTCACGTTAAGCTTCGAGGAGACTTCGACATAATCCTTCAACAAACTACAAGAGTGGAAAATGAAGAATATCAAAACAGATTGTAAATGGAGGACTTAAGCAATTAACACAGGACGCGATGCAGCCTCGGTTGATGACAGTAATCATTGAATAATAATAATAATATTAAGAATAATAACAATTATTACAAAAATGATATGAATCGAAAAAAATGAAAATGAGTGAAAACCTATTTTAAAAACATGCTTTTCTAATGATCTCGAAACATTTTTTCTATTTATCTCTCTTTATGTAAAAAAATAACTAGATAACTACTTTCATAAATCAATAAAGTATTGCATTGTCAAAGTAATGCAATACACACCTGGTAAATATCAAAGTTGCCGGAGCATTTCATATGTGTTTCTTTAAAATTTTATGAATTACTGGTGTTTTTTTCTTTTTCAGAGCTCCTCCCGTTGTTCAGGCCAGGTAAATTCTGCTTTATTATAGTTACATGGCATTTGGGAAGAATTTTAAGCGGGGTTATATATGACATAAGATTAGAGTCTGGGCAGAAGAGAGGATCTGCAAAGTGTCCCATGGAGTTTGACAATAGTTTATGCCACATCTATTTTGATGCATGATATTTTATTTTGGCCATTTACAGAACATCTCCCCCACTTCCCGTTGGGGAAGTAGTTCTTCGTTCAGAGCCGAGACAGTTCTCTCCCCTTTTTTAACAATCTTAATCCCCAAGAGAGGATCTTTAACTAACCAATCCTGTGTCACAATGAGTCTGACAGGAGTTTAAATGACATCTATACTAATGGAAGAATTAAAAAGAAAAACATTTTGTTTATTTTGGCCTCTTCCAGGACACCTCCCCCACTACCTCCCCCAGTGGCGGTTGTAGTAAATTCTCCACCACCATCAAAAGACAGCTGTGTAGACTTCTGTTTCAAGTGTGAAAGCGGCTACAGCTGGTACGACTTGCATGGGAAAGGTAGATACTCAAATGCTTTCAGGGCCTCACTTGCCAGGGCTATTTGTAGCTTACAAATGTGGTGCTTTTTATAAGAAGGAAGAGGCATGCAAAACCTCTTAGGCATTCAGAACAGTTTGGTCAAATCATTTCTTGATCAAAATCGACATTATTCATTTACTAATACTTATCAATCCGCCAACGCATTTATCTATCGATTTATACATTTTCAAATTCATTTATGTTTTTTTTTTCATTCATTAAATCATTCATGCATGTCCTTAGTTATTTACTCTCGGGGCTGAATTGCATTGATGCAGCGTTCTTGAACGCCTAATTTACGGATAAGAAAAAGAAATTTAACAATTAAGTTATAAGATATTTATAGAGCAAGGTCCGTATAGGATAGCAACATCCGAAATTAATATGTTTTGTCATTAAAACTATTATTTAAAAAATGTTATTGTTCTCGTTTGTTACTGCCGAAACGCCTCATACCGTTGAACGTTAGCACTTGCCAAAGAGAGCCTGAAAAGAATTCAGGCATCAACGGGACTCGAACCCAGGCCTCTCAGATACTAGCTGAGCGCTTCTACCAACTGAGCTACGAAGCCGCACGTTGGGGGAGACGAGTTTTTAGGCTTAGAAAAGATTGTCAATTAATTAGGTTTCAAAACTCTAATTTGCTTCATCATTTTTCAGGTCTCTTTATTGTCCTGTTGCTACTTGTGGGTTACTTGATCTTTGGAATTATCGCTTTGGCCTGTTTAGTGCTGTATTGTCTTTGCGCTTGCTTCTCAGATGGAGATGACTGAGAAATGGATCACATCAATGGTTTAACTACGGAGATGAATTTATATTAAATCAATATTCCATTATCTACAGCGTTTTCACTAAATGTTTTGTACTTAAATAAAATGGGTTTTCATCTCTTCGAATTTGGCACTCTTGAGCAGATTTACTTCGGGTCAGTCAGATCAACTTAGCGTTCACAAGCTCTATACCTGATTCCCCCTAAGGCTCTTCTTATTCTTAAGAACCGACCCTCCCCCCCCCCCATTAGCAATCAATTTTCCATAGTCCGCCCTCTATACTCTATTATCGACTACCTATATCCCTACATTCCGCTGTAAATCACGTGATCCTCTCGAAATCCTCCAAAACCCCCTCCCTACCGTCCCCAGGTGATTAATTATGACCGGTCGCTTTGGACAATTTTTTGTCCAATTTTTTGTTGTCTAATTGATGCAAACTGTCCTATTACAGGCGATCAAGTGCTAAACTGTTCCATGCATCATCAAAAAATTACCTCAGTTTCTTACTCAGCTTCCAACAAAGCTGTTTTCATATTCAGTACAAAGCTAAGAAATAGACTTAACTTGTACAGCACTGTACTAGGTTGTTAGAACAGCAATGCTATGACATAGTTTAGTATATAAGAGAGTGTTTCCAGCAAGCTTTAAGAATTATTTGAATAAAGTTTCTCAAAATAAAATTACGCATTGATTTATGACGTCATATTGACGCATTGGCGCCCCCATCGTCTTTACTAATTGGCTGCAACCAACCAGGGTCCTCCTTTCACCGAAATACGAAAACTCCAAGTTGTTGGTCAGTGGAGTGTAGTCACACCTTAACGATTCGACTTGAAAATGAACAGCAACCTGCAAGCCGTAGAGGCTAATGAGGTAGAGTTCATCTATGAAGTTCCATTGGAAAACATACAGAAGTTGTTACTACAGAGCAAGTCTTCGTTAAGCTGATAACACTAAAAATGTTCTCAAAACTTTGGTTTAACGAGTTCAGTCATGCAGATGGATCAGTTTACGGCGATGAGATCCGGTTTCTTGTTCAATCCCTGGGTTAATTAAACTTATAATACTGACAATTTTTCCATAGCTTTACTCCAATGAGTTTTCCAGCGCAGGTACAAATGTAGATCTGTTTACGAGGATGAAATCTAATCTACTGTTCAACCTTTGTAAATTAAAGGAGAGTCGTTTAAGTCTGTAAGTAAATTCAGTGGTTCAGTGGGAGTTGACTTCATAACCAGATCATAATTAAGCGGAAATGACTCTGAGTTCTGACTCATTTCAATGATTTCTGCTCTCGACCTCTTGGTAAGCTTGCTCAAAACCGAGAGTTCACCATCTCTTACTCTTCTCTTTCTCCTAAAACTAAACCTTGGAATTCAGTTAATAAGTTTATTGTCATATGACCACTAAGGACCTTTCCGCACTAGCGAACAAGACTAAAATTGTCCCGACCAAATCAAAGAACAAATTTCGTCATGAAGAATTTTCGTTTCGTCTGTTACATCTGCACAAAAATTTCAAAGCCGCCAAAATCCGTCAGCGCCTGATCTGTTCATAAGACCGACCAGAATAGTTGCCAAAGGGTTCCACCTGCAATTTTCAGGATTATCCTAAGTCGTTTTAAAATTTTAGAATCCCGAGTTTTGCAACAAAGATAATTTTTGCTTCTCTAGTAAACTGATTTCAGTTCAATTACATGCTTGTCGCAGGTTACACGACAAATATTTAAACGTCCCAAGGTGGGGTAACCCGCCTAGCCGGGGTCGCTTTCATAGCAAAAAGCTCAAAAGCGAAACACGTATGTTTTAAAACTTTGTACATTTCCCAGCCGTCTTATAGCAGAAATCACCAGAAACCGCAACGGACACACAAGGTGTGTAAAATGTTCACATTTCGGAATATTTAACGCAGTAAATTGACCATATTTCAAACTATTCCTCATAACATATCACGTCAACGGTTCCTCGCGTAACCTAACACCGCGTAACACAACGCGTGACGCTTTCATGAATAAATACATACGTTTCCGAGAATTAAGCTTTCGTCTTTCTCGAGACGTGAGCTTGGGGCAAGCGCAACAACAACCTCAAGAAACCTCAACCCAGCACCCCAGGTTTGTAAGATTGTATGTAAACGCATTTTATTTTGCGACCACAGTTAGGCGGGTTACCTCACCCACCTCCATGTAAACAGGCCCTTTGTCGACTTTGCCAAATTTTAACCCGGGAAAAATTTCGTCGGCAGTGCGTTTGAAGATTTGTCCGCTTTGGCCAAAATTTTTCAGGTCGCGACATACCATCCGCACTTGTAAAATGTTGGTATTGACAGAAAATGTGTCTAAAATAAACAACTTTGGACAAATTAATCGGTGTGTGATTGTGAGGTTGCAAGTCTAACTTTAAGCAATTAAGAGAATCATTTACACTAGTTGCTCTAATGTCAGTCATCATCGACATGTCATTTCTCAGAAATGACAATTTTGAGCTCAAGACCGTAGATTTAAAGCTCGTGACGCCACAGTGACGCCACCATTGTCGCCACTGATTGGTTAGAACTAAACAGGGTTCTTCTTTCCCAGAAGGGAAGTTTAAGTTGTTTATCAGTGGAGTGTAGTCACACCTTGACGATTCGACTTGGAAATGGATAACAACCCGCAGGCCGTAGTGGCTATTAAGGAAGAGCACGTCATTATCGATGGAGTTCGATTGAAAAAGACGACAGCAGTTGTTGCAACAGAACAAGGGTTAGTTTGTGCTGATAACACTGAAAATGTTCTCAAAGGTTTTATTTAACGAGTTTGGTTAAGAAGATGGATCAGTTTACGGCGATGAGATCTAGTTCCTGTTCAACGCCTGTAAAATAGATTTTGTTAGCCTTTAAAACGATGAATCTACCGTAGGTTTTTACCTTTAATTGAATCAGTGGTTTGATATGAGCCATTCAATTGACTCCATTAGCGGATGACCAAGGCGGAAGTAATGCTGAGTTCTGACTAATTTCATTTGTTGTTCATTCAACCTCTTAGTAAGCTTACTTCAACTGTAGCCGAGAATTCACCAAATCCTTTCTACCTTTCATGAAAGTCTGCTTAAATGTCTTTAAGTTAGTAGAATTCGTTTGTACAAAGCGAGTGTTTTACATATTACTTTGCTTTCTTAAATTTTTTGTTTTCATCTTTACGCTCCAATGATTTAGCCAAACATTGCGACCTTGTTTGTGAAGCATTGATATTTTGCTGTTAAAACTATCCTAAGCACAACCAGATAATTTGGTTTTATGAGTTGATAATGTAGATGGTCCACCGTAAAGAGTTTCTAAGCTGACGTTTCGAGCGTTAGCCCTTCGTCGAAGCGATTGATCTGCAAGCCATCTGAACATCTGTAGCTTGCCTTTAACAACTGTTTATTGTAATCGTAGAAAAACATCACTTTCACCTTTTAGAAAGCTTTTGTTAGGGACAAACATTTTTTTCCCCTCTGTTTCAGTACTTTGTGGGGATTCTCGAGAATTCGCCACTATACATTCCGATTTGTTTCCAAGGTAGAAAGATAAAACGTAAATAAGAAATCAAGCCCTTGCTGGAACATTCTTGGAACTCCTGAGTTTCCTCGGTAGACTCCAAGGGTTTCGTACGATGACCAATTATATCTGTCCTATTGCAACTGTGTTTCGTCTCTCTCTTAGATTCACTTTATCTAAAATGTGCAGGTAAAGACTTCTTCAATTTAGATATTACTTTCATTTTGCTAACACTTAAATTTCTTTCAGCATCTTGGCCAGGGAAGTGATAGAGGCAAGTGAAGTCAATTTGCCCGGAAGGTAAAAGTCTACAGTAAATGTTAGCCTTTAACATAAGAGAATATCTTCATAGAAAATTGAGCCCCTGATGTCACGTTAAGCTTCAAGGAGACTACGACAAAATCCTTCAACAAACAGCAAGAGTGGAAAATGAAGAACATCAAAAAATATTGTAAATGGAGAACTTTAGCAATTAAGACCACAGGCGGCCCAAACTCCAGCTGTCAGATGATCATCTTGCGCAATAATAGTCATGGCGTAATTATAAGAGTTTGTATGGGAATATTTACGACCGCTCTAAGGTATAAAATAATAAGTCAAATTCTCAAAAAAAATACCTCACCTTACTTTCACAGCGTATCGCTTGTTATATGACCGCTTACTTTGATGAAAAGAACGCATATTAGCGAGTTGTCCATTTCGAGGTTTTCAACGTTCATAAGAAAAGCCCAAGGCTGAACACTCCATTTCCGAACGCCTGATCCGAGAAGCGAAAAATCCAAGCTCAAAATGACCGGGTGCCCACAAATCCAACGCAGAATCCAAGCACATATACTGTAGTTTCATTCCAATTCACTAAAAACTCAATCTTCCCCGTGCAACCGACGCTAAGTCGCAGTTTGCTTCAAAAATTTCCAGTTTAGAGGTTTCTAACAGCCCGCGGCCACATCAACCTTGACACACGACCGTTGAAAACCAGCTCGGTAACCCCACCTCCTTTTCAAACTGAGCTTTGCCGGGGACCATACCGTCAGTTATCGTCAATAAATTGTTTTAGAACCACGGGTCCCCTCAAAAGAAATCGATCAAGAGGCTATTGTTTCGATCGGCCAATCGAATTCGCCTCCGGAAATGTTTACAAATTCAAAATAATTTACAGGCATAGTTGCAAACCGCACAGCTGATCTCGTAAATCTCGATAATTTCCTTTCAATTTCAAAAAGAAAAAATGTCGTCGGTAAAAAATAGTCTATTCCACGGTCGCAGCAGGGACGTAATCAATTCGACTCGTATCTGAAATGGAAATCGTGGTAAGTATTGTTGTTGCTGATATCCGTGCGGACGAAACGAAATAACAGTTGTCTTGTTAGCAACATTAAACTAAGTATGTCCAGATAGAGCTAAATTGAATACTGGAACAAATCCTTCCAAGGTTTTCCTCTGACTCCGAAAATAATCACATTGGCCGATTGGCCGATCGAAACAATAGCCTCTTGATCGATTTCTACTGAGGGGACCCGTGGTTCTAAAACAATTTATAGACGATAACTGACGGTATGGTCCCCGGCGAGGCTCAGTTCGAAAAGGAGCTAGGGTTACCGAGCTGGTTTTCAACGGTCGTGTGTCAAGGTTGATGTGGCCGCGGGCTGTTAGAAACCTCTAAACCGGAAATTTTTGAAGCAAACTGCGGCTTAGTGTCGGTTGCACGGGGAAGATTGAGTTTTTAGTGAATTTTAATGAAACTACAGTATATGTGCTTGGATTCTGCGTTGGATTTGTGGGCGCCCGATCATTTTGAGCTTGGATTTTTCGCTTCTCGGATCAGGCGTTCGGAAATGGAGTGTTCAGCCTTGGGCTTTTCTTATGTACGTTGAAAACCTCGAAATAAACAACTTGCTTAAATGGGCTCTTTTCATCAAAGTAAGCGGTCAGATAACAAGCGACACACTGTGGAAGTAAGGTGAGGTTTTTTTTTTTTTTGAGAATTTGACGTATTTTTTATTCCTTAGAGCGGTCGTAAATATGCCCATACAAACTCTTATAATTCCGCCATGACTGTTATTGCGCAAGATGATCATCTCACAGCTGGAGCTTGGGCCGCCTGTGTTAAGACAGGACGCGATGCGATCTCAGTTGATAACAATAATCATTGATCAATAACGGTAATAATAATAATATAAGGAATAATAATTATCACAGACATCAACAGCATGCTCTTCTAATGATTTCGAAACATTTATTTTCTATTTATTGCTCTTGACGTACAAAAATAACTAGATGACTATTTTAAAAACCAATTAAGTATTGCATTGTCAAAGGAATATAATTATGATACACACCTTGTAAATATGTTCTGGCCAGGTAAAATTCTGCTTCATTATAGTTACATGGCATTTTGGAAGAATTTTAAGTGGGGTTGTATACGACGTATGATTAGAGTTTGGGCAGAAGAGAGGATCTGCAAAGTGTCACGAGGAGTTTGACAAGAGTTCATGCCACATCCATTTTGATGCATGATATTTTATTCTATATTATTTTTCAGAACATCTCCCGCACTACCTTCCCTTGGGGAAGTAGTTCTTCATTAAGAATCGAGGCAATTCCTTTTCCTTCTTTTAGCAATCTTAATCCTAAGAGAGGATCTTAAACCAACCAATCCTGTGTCACAGGGAGTTTGACAGGAGTTTAAATGACATCTATACTACTAGAAAGGAAAAACGTTCTCTATTCTGGCTTCTTCTAGGAGACTTCCCGCACTACCTCCCCCACAGGTCGTTGTGATAGATTCTCCACCACCATCAAATGACGGCTGTTGTGACTTTTGTTTCAAGTGTGAGAGCGGCTACAACTGGTACGACTTGCAAGGAAAAGGTAGATACTCAAATGCTTTCAGGGCCTCACTTGCCAGGGCCCATTGTAGCTTATAAATGTGGAGCTTTTTCCAAGAAAGAAGAGGCGAGCAAAACCTATTAGGCATTCAGAACGGTCCGGTCAAATCATTCCTTGATCAAAATCGACCTTATTCATTTACTTATACCTATCAATCTGCTAACGTATTTATCTATCGATTTATACATTTTCAAATTCATTTATGTATTTATTCGTTCATTAAATCATTCGTTCATGTCCTTAGTTATTTACCCTCGGAGTTGAATTACATTGATGCAGCGTTATGGCGGTCTTCGATTTGAACGGCTAATATACGGATAAGAAAAAGAAATTTAAAAATTAAGTTATAAGATTTTATAGAGCAAGGTCCGTATAGGATAGCAACATCCAAAAATTAATATGTTGAGTTTTTCCCCATTAAAACTATTATTTACAAATACTGTTCTCGTTTGTTACTGCCGAAACGCCTCCTATTCGTTCATTAAATCATTCGTTCATGTCCTTAGTTATTTACCCTCGGAGCTGAATTGCATTGATGCAGCGTTCTGGCGTTCTTCGGTTTGAGCAGCTAAGAACGGCTTCGGATACGAAAAATAAATTTAACAATTAAGTTATAACATATTATATGTAAGATAGAGCAAGGTCCGTATAGGATAGCAACATCCGAAGATTAATGTGTTGAGTTTTTCCTCATTAAAACTATTATTTAGAAAATGTTATTGTTCTCGTTTGTTACTGCCGAAACGTCTCATACCGTTGAACGAAAAATAGAAAGATCCGTTATCGTGTTTGGCATTCAAGATGTTACTGAAATTAGCAACTCTTAACTCACCTCACCTTTGCAAACCAACACTCGCAAAATGTAGAACCTCTAGTGTTTGGATTTCTGCAGCCTTAGGTGTAATATAAGCACTTGCCGAAGAGTGCCTGAAAAAATTCAGGCATCAACGGGATTCGAACCCAGGCCTCTCAGATACTAGCTGAGCGCTTCTACCAACTGAGCTACGCAACATGATCTCGAGACCGAAATAACGATTATCGTTATTTCTAAATTGGCACCAAATTTATGGATATAGTAATTTCGTGGCACTCTTTACCAATGCTCTTTACACGTGTTAAATAAAGAGAAGGACTCGGTTCCACTGTCTTACTACATTCAAGATGGCGGAGGAAAGGGGTAAATGTGCGTTCAGTTGTGATCAGCATGATCTCGACACCAAAATAACGATTACCGTTATTTCTAAATTGGCCCTGAAATAACGAATATCATAATTTCAGTGCATGTCTGAGACCTTCGGGCTCGAAGCTTGGGAACTAGTATTCAGGGAAAGATAAAATGGCGGCTTACGGCGGCGAAGGTAATCTCAGTAGTTTAATATTTAGCGTGAAAAGGCTTGGGTGTTGTGATCTGGTTCTCAAGTAAAAAAAAATCACGGTCTGCAATGGCCCTACCACCTTTTGAACAACAAGAAAACATTGAAACGGTGGTAAAAAGCAGCAAGTTTCGAAGTCTAAACGAAAGATGGGTAAGCTGAGTTTCAGTCAAATATCATGACATTTGGGATGTAATTTCGATACCGAATAAATAGTTCTACATGGTTATACACGCATAGGATTCTGTTGTGTTCACGTGAAGGCCATTTCAGCCATTCCTGCCACTTGTAAGTGGTAGGAAATAAAAGATATGTATAGTTGTTTCGTATTGAAGCCCTGTGAAATCACAAATTTGATTTATTTCTTCTTTGTTTTAGGTGGTCATTATCCATTACTTTTGGAAGTCGATGCTGATGAGAAAGAAAAAATGTTTATGATTATTTCTTCTCTCGAACATTTTACTATTTAGGTACCAAATAATCTTGATACTGAAGATCATTGCATCCATTATGAAAAAATTATCCTTGATTGCTTTGTCAACTGGAATGTATAATGTAATATACCTTGTGATTTGTGGGATTTTCACAAGTAAACTAGAAATACTTGAAGAGGGTAATGATGTACTTAATGCAGAGCATTTGGTACAAAGTCTGCTTTGCTGTAATCTACCTGAAGGTGCTTTTTATATGCTAGCTAGACTTGCACAGCCCAGTCAAAATGTTTTTGAGTAGTAGACAAGCTGGCCATACCTCTTCCTGAAAAGCAGTCTGAAAAATGTGAAGTTAGCGGAAGGTACTTCATTGTAGGCGGCCAAATTGTAAGCTGCCAGCCCATTTTGAGTGAGCAGTAAAACTCAAGATTGGCTATTTTAGCTAATTTTATTGAGAACCAAATTCCCAGCAACGGGCACAATTTTACTGGGCTATTTGTTATTTAACTACTTAGTAATATTCTTATTAAAATTTACTGCATTCCTTTCTAATAATTTGCTGCTGATTGTATGCTGTATATAGCTTATGATTTGTGTGATTTTCACAAGTAAATTAGAAATACCTGAAGATGGTAATGATGTACTAGATAATGTACTTGATGCAAAGCTATTTTGGTGCAAAGTGTGTGCCTTGTCTGTAGGTGATTTTGCATGCTAATAAGACTTGTAATTCAAATAATACACATCAGCTGGAGTGGGAATATTAAAAGAAAAATAATAATATTTAGCTATACCAAGTTCTGGTTTTATGTCCAAATTAAGCACTTAGTTGAAGATCACTGCACTGCTCAGGTCCAGAAGGCTGAAAGAGTACTGTCTGCTGTTAGTTTGATTTTTGTCATTTCTATTGATTTATTTTATTTATCAATGTTTCTTTGAATTGTAATTCATTGATCTCTTTCAATAGTGCAGGTTCGCTCATGTAACCTAATCTCCCACTTATGTATGTATGTATGTATGTATGAGCTCAGTCAAAATGTTTTTGAGTGGAAGGCAAGCTGGTGATAGTAATAGGCAGCAGAGGCTGAACCTTGTCTTGAATGGAAGTGTGAAAAGTGTGAAGTTAGTGGCAGCTATATTGTGGCAGGCAGCCAAATTGTCGGCTGTGGCACATTTTGACTGGGCTGATTTGTGTGTAGTATATATGTGCACTTCTTTTAGGGTGTTAAACAGGTTAAAGTACCAAGAAATCCTCTGTGATAACTTGATAATTCAAGATGTAAAAATTTTAAATAATAAGGTAAAGCTTGATCATTCTTAAGAGTTTCCATTTGTTCTGGAAATTTGGGGGAGGGTCAGGGGAGCATTATTTATACATAAATAATGTACATAAAAAGTAAAAAAAAAGGACCAAGGTAAAATCCCAATTTGTTTTAAAAGTTAATTTTATTAAGAGAAAACCCTGGATATAGCTTGGGATTTGTGTGATACAATCAAAGAAACATTGAGAAATGACAAAAATCAAACTAACAGCAGACAGTACTCTTTCAGCCTTCTGGACCTGAGAAGTGCAGTGATCTTCAATCAATAAGTGCTTAATTTGGACATAAAACCAGAACTGGTATAGCTAAATATTATTATTTTTCTTTTAATATTCCCACTCCAGCTATGTGTATTTAAGTCTTATTTATCAAAATGTTTCATAAAACCAGAACTTCTGTAAATTTATTATTTTCTTTTAATATTCCCACTTAGCTGATGTGTATTATTTGAATTACAAGTCTTATTAGCATGCAAAATCACCTACGGACAAGGCACACACTTTGCACCAAAATAGCTTTGCATCAAGTACATTATCTAGTACATCATTACCATCTTCAGGTATTTCTAATTTACTTGTGAAAATCACACAAATCATAAGCTATATACAGCATGGCAGCAAATTATTAGAAAGGAATGCAGTAAATTTTAATAATAATATTACTAAGTAGTTAAATAACAAATAGCCCAGTAAAATTGTGCCCGTTGCTGGGAATTTGGTTCTCAATAAAATTAGCTAAAATAGCCAATCTTGAGTTTTACTGCTCACTCAAAATGGGCTGGCAGCTTACAATTTGGCCGCCTACAATGAAGTACCTTCCGCTAACTTCACATTTTTCAGACTGCTTTTCAGGAAGAGGTTTGGCCAGCTTTTCTACTACTCAAAAACATTTTGACTGGGCTGTGCAAGTCTTACTAGCATATAAAAAGCACCTTCAGGTAGATTACAGCAAAAGAGACTTGTACCAAATGCTCTGCATTAAGTACATCATTACTCTCTTCAAGTATTTCTAGTTTACTTGTGAAAATCCCACAAATCACAAGGTATATTACATTATACATTCCAGTTGACAAAGCAATCAAGGGTAATTTTTTCATAATGGATGCAATGATCTTCAGTCAAGATTATTTGATACCTAAATAATTAAATATTCGAGAGAAGAAATAATCATAAACATTTTTTCTTTCTCATCAGCATCGGCTCAAAAGTAATGGATAATGACCACCTAAAACAAAGAAGAAAATCAAATTTGTGTTTCACAGAATACTAATATACATATCTTTATTTCCTACCACTTACAGAGTGGCGAGAATAACGAAATGGCCTTCACGTGGCACCTAATCCTATGCGTGTGTAACCATGTAGAACTATTTATTCAGTATCAGATATCATGATATTTGACTCAACACTGCTACATCTTTCGTTTAGACCGAAACTTGCTGCTTTTACCACCGTTTCAATGTTTTCTTGTTGTTCAAAAGACCACATTGCAGACCATGTTGCCGGAAACCAGGTCACAACACCCAAGCCTTTCACGCTAAATATTAAACTACGTGAAATTTCCTTCGCCGTAATGGCTCACCATTATCTTTTCCTGAATACTAGTTCCCAGAAATGACCCGGGTCTCAGACATGCACAAGTATGATATTCATTATTTCAGAATTTGAGTAGAAACCAGCGGTAATCATTATTTTAGTGTCGAGATCACAACTGGTACTCCGCCATCTTGAATGTTGTAAGGACATCTCTTTATTTAACACGTGTAGAAACATTGGTAAAGTGCCACAGGTACTGTATCCATAAATTTAATTATATTAGAAATAACGATAATCGCAATTTCGGTCTCGAGATAATGTTGGCTTATT